AGACATATGCACCCCTATGTTTATCATAGCCAAGAAATGGAAGCAACCTAAGTATCCAACAGTAGATGAATGGATAAAGAAGATGCATATCCACAATGGAATGCTATTCACCCATAAGAAAAAAACAAATCCTACCATTTGCAACAACATGGATGGAGCTATAGAGGGTACTATGCTCATTGAAATAAGTCGGGCAGAAAAAGACAAATGTCAAACGATTTCCCTCATTTGTGAAGTACAGCAACGAAGCAAAACTGAAGGAACAAAATAGCAGCAAATTCACAGACTTCAAGAAGGGACTACTGGTTACCAAAGGGGGTGGTGGTGGAGAGGAGGTGGAGAGGGAGGGAGTAGGAGTAGGGGATTGGGGGTATCATGATTAGTGCACATAGTCTGTGTGGGGTCACAGGGAAGACAGTATAGCACAGAGAAGACAAGTACTGACTCTGTGGCCTCTTACTACACTGATGGACAGTGACTGCTATGGGGTTTGGGGGGGACTCTATAATAAGGGTGAATGTAGTAACTACATTGTTTTTCTTATGAAACCTTCATAGGAGTATATGTCAATGATTCCTTAATAATAATAATAATAATAATTTGTAAATCAAGAAAAAAAATATATAATATATATATACTCAGGAAAATAAAAGACAACATTGACTCAGCAGAGAACCAAATACCCATAATATAAGAACAAAATGGAGACTCTAGAACCAAAAAATAAAAATAGCAGAACCTAAAGCACTTAAATTGCTTTCTCTCTGGCTTGGTGTGTGTGTGCGAAAGGTGTGTGTGCAATAGTATTGATCTGAAGGGATTAGAAAGAAGCCTTCTGGTGTGCTGGAAAAATTCAATACTATTTAGAACCTAAAATCTGAATAGCAAATTGAGATCAAATCAGTAAACTGAGGGATATGTTAGAAGAAAATATCCAGAATTAAGCATGATGAAGTATAAATGTGCAAAAAACAAACAAGATATGACACATGAGGAATTTTTCAAAAAAGACTAAAAAGATGTCTAAGAGGAGTTCCAGAATAAGGAGAGAATGCAGTAAAGTAATAACTGAAGAAGACATGGCTAAGAATTTTCCAAAATCAACAAAAGAGATCATGGTACAGATTCAAGAAGTCCTAACATCCTTAAAGAAGGATCAATTGAATATATACACCCACACAGAGGCACATGAATTAAAAACTCACACACACACAGGTATATTACAGAAAATCTGCAAGAAACCACACAGAAAGAAAAATACTGTATGGAAACAACCTTGAGAAAAAAGGCAGGTTACATTCAAAGAATGAATAGTTAAGACTAGAGGTGGCACATTACATCCTGCAAACCAACTCTGGCCCATCTCTTTCTGCAAATAAAGTTTTATTGGAACACAACTACACTCACTTGTTTATGTATTGTCTATGACTGTGTTTGCACTATAACAGCAGAGCTGACTGGCTGTGACAGAGACTCTCTGGCCTACAAGCAAATATAAAAGTGAGCTTACTTTATCTGATACAACACTATTAAAAACCTAAAGGTTTTTAATAAAAAACTAAAGGAAAGTTCCACTTATTGGTAAAATGTTTAAAATTTCTGTCTTGAGATCTGAAAAGAGACAAGGAGGCTCACTATCATGACTTCTATTCAACACTGTCCTAGCTAGTAAGTCAAGCAAAAGTAACACAAATAATAAGGTTTGGAAAGGCAGTTATAAAACTAGTTTTTTTGCAGATGATAACTATGTAGAATATCTAGTAGTATCTACAGATAAATTATTGGAATTAGTAATATTTGCAAGCTTTCTAACAAAAGAACAACAAAAACAATTCTATTTCTATGTACCAGCAGCAAAGGATTAGAAAATACAAAAAGGGAAGAGAAAGAAAAAAAAAAGGGTACCATGTGCAACAGTATCAAAACTTTTCAAATACCTAGTTATAAATCTAATTTTAAAAGGTATAGGGTCTCTCCCCCCAAAATATTCAATGTTACTAAGAGAATTTAAGAAGTCTCCTAAAACCTAAATAATGGACAAATATATCATGCTCCTGGATTGGAAAAATCAAAGTTATAAATATGTCCATTAATCCCATCTTGATCTACAAACTTAAAGCAATAGCAACAAAAAAAGTCCCAACAGGTATGGAATTAGGTGCATACATTCATCAAAGGGCATACATAGGAATGTTTACAGCAACTTTATTAATGATAGCCAAAATCTGGAAATAATCAAAATGTCTGCCAACATTAGAATGGATAAATAAATTGTTGGTATGTTCCTACAATACTCAGCTAAATACAGATGTGAACTTTGGCTGCAAGTGAAACTGATCAATCTCACAGACCTATATCTGAACGAAAAGTGTCAGCTCTAAGAACACACACAGTATGATTGCACTTAAATAAAATTCAAGTTCATACAAAACCAACCTACATATTATGTTTGTGCATAGCAAGGTACTATTGATGTGGAGGGGGCAGTCGGAACACTTCTAGGGTGCTGGAAAGGTTCTATATTATGACTGTGATGGTGGTTATATGGGCGCATACATATGTAAAACTTCAAGCTTTACACTTAAGATTCGTCTGTTATTTCTCAATAAAATTTTTAAGAGAACAAATTAATACTTTCTCATCTAAAATTACAAATAAAAGGCCAGACACAATGCAGGAAAGGGCATTTCCTACACATATAACCAATAACAGGCTCCTACAAATCAGTGAGAAAAAGACAACCCAACAAACAAGAAAACTTAAATAGGCACTTTCCCAAGAAAAAACTAACTAAATGGTTAATAAAAATTTAAGTTGCCTTACCTCATTAGAATTCAAGGAAATGTAATGTAAAACTACAAGACACTACTTTGTACCTACCAGAGCAGCTAAAATTATATTAACTTAAGAGCAGTTGTTGGCAAGGATGCAGAATAATGAGAACTTGCACACATTTCTGATGGGAGGACAGACTGTTACACCACTATGAAAAACAATTTTGCTTTACCTACTAAAGGTGAAGATAAGCAGTAATTCTATGACTAGGTTTTTATCAAACATAAATGGAAGCACATGTGCACCAAGAATCTTGGACAAAAATGTTCAAATCAGCAAGACCCATAATAGCTTCAAACTGGAAGCCCAAATGCCCAAATCAATAGAAAAATGGATAAGTTGTGGTATCTTCACATAATAGAGTATTATACAGCTATCTGTACCTGAAATAACTGAATGACTTGCCTATGCAATTTGAGTGAAAGAAGCTAGACACAGAACACAGATATATGATGTATGCAGATGTACATGAAACAAAGCTATAGAATTAGAGGTTATAACCTCTAAGGGAAGGCAGGGAGTGATGATTAGGAGGCATGGAGGGGTGTTTCTAGGATGTGGACAATATTCTATTTCTTGACTTGGGTTGTGGTTACATAGGTATACCTGTTTAACAATTAATTTACTGAAATTAACATTTATTTCCTATACTTTCTCTATGTATATTTTTCAATACAATAAAAATTAAACAAAAAGTAAAACCAAACCAAACAAAAACCAAAAAATAAATCTGGCTATATTTACTCTATCCTTAATTCAAAGGGTTGGAATTATTTTTTTACTCAGCAACAGCATAATGAGTCAGTTAAAACTTTGAATGACTAAAGATTTGGTATGAAAAGTCTTATTCTCACATCTTTTAAGTACAAAAATATTAGTTTTAGAAAATATAGGGTTCATTTACATTGATAACTCCACCTCCATTTTTCATCATGCATGCCCTGAGAAACGTAATCAGTCCCTGGTAGATTAAGTCCAGATTTCTCAGCCTGCAGCAGGTGGCTCCATCTGAACAGTACAAAATTATCTACCCCTAACTGACAACCCAAATATCCATTGCTACCAGATTGGCTTCTAGCCAATCCTCACTTACACTCTTATCCATTTGTGACTGTCTTGTTCTTATGCCCAACATCTAAACTTTAGGTCTTCTTCAAGAATCTGTTCAAGTCCTACCTCCTCCCTGAAACCTCAACAATTGAGTATATATGTTATATTTTCATATATTTTTGGTTTGCTTTATCTGTTCCAATACATTTTAATACTTATCTTTCCTAGTACAGCTACTATGGTATGGCATTCACTTGGAGATATGGTAAAAGCCAGATAAACATCTGATATCTCTGTGTAGATATATGAGAAGCTGGAGAGTAAGCAAGTAACAGAAAACCAACTATTCTTCCACAGCCCCTGAGAGCAGTAGTGCTCTGAAGCCTGCTAAGCTCCACACAGAAGCTGAGCAATTTGCAGGCTGGGTATTTTCATTACATACAATGTGGAGTAAGAACTGACACACAAAAGTAGGAGCAAAGGACAAAATTAAAAATAGGAAGATTTGTACTATACTAGAAGTTTAAATGCTCAAACACATAGAATACATTTTTGAATTCCAATGATTTCAGGAAGATACTTAAATCATTATTTGAGCAAATACTACCAATAAATCTTTAAAATTATATGAAAAATAATCTTCTTCAATACTTTGGGTATGCTAGTTATCTCTGATAAGGCAGAGCTTTTAAAATAAACAAACAAATAAAGTGAACCAAAAAATGTCACAATTTAATGACTGGCTCATCTCTGAGGACATTGCTAATCCGGTGTGATGTGACAAATTAATATATGGTACCCGAAACAAAGAACAATTAGCAAATATAAGAATTAAGTTTATTTATAACTTGTTACCAGAGCTAATAAAAAATTAGCCCATTGAAACAGAATATCTCTAATTGAAGTATTATTAAGTGAACCCATATTTACATTAGTCTGCTCAAGACTTCAGCAAGCACTGGCACATGCTATCACTCAAGCAGTCCTTAATGAAACAGAAGATCCAATTAACAGGGTAGTGATTCCTGCAAGGGACATTAGCAGTGTTTAGTTTTTGTTGAAAAGTGTATGTCATTGAAATATTAAGTTAAAAACCCAGAGAAATTTCAACATACGTGAGCTTTGTGATAAGGGTTGTTGTCTTTGATTCCTGGTAAGTATCTACGCCTTCCCAAAATGGTCTGAACAAACCCATCTCTTTTACAATTCTTCACTGTCTCTCTCATGAAATGATTAATCCCTACAAAGAAAAGACAGAAGTATTTATTACCAAAGCACATTTTCAACTTCATTCACTAGTTTCAATATAGTGAAAAATAACAAAGCCCCATCATGATTCTTAACCCTAATATCACATTATCGAAACCTTGCATATAAACTTTCATTCACTTGTTGCAAATACAGAAAGTTAGAAAAAAAGGGACTTTAGAAATGATATAATCTAATGCTATCTTTGTTTTTTAACCAAAGACAACAACAACAAATATGAAACTGAACTCCAGAATATCCTTTGGCAGGTAAAAACCTAGGTGGTTTTACTCCAGGATCTTAAGACTAATCCATTGCAACTTTTTACAAGTTTGTTCTTTGATCACGTTAATCCTCTTTTACATTTTGATCTTACTATCTTCAGGTTTAAAACATTCTAACAATCCCTTGTTAGTATATAAACTATGATCCAAATAAGACCTAACAAATTAATACTCAAGTTATAATAAATATTTCATTGGAAACATATACAACACACTTCTTAAAATTAAAAAGACTGTGTATAGTGTCTTTTTCTATTCAAACACATTCACATTCCCTACATAAGCACTCATCCTTTGCAATATAGGTCTATTATTATGTCTTAGGGATCTCCAGGATGAATTCTTTGCTCCAGGTGGGCCAGTCTCTTCACTGCTCATTCCTGTCTCTGAGCCAAAGAGGTTCTGCTCTCCTGGAACATTCTCAATACTCTTTAAAACATAATCAGGTCTGGAGACTGTGTTGATCTATCTTTATTCCTATGTGCAATTTCTGCTTTGTCACAGCTCTGCTCATTGTAAATAATAAATATTAAATTCTCCCAATTGAAATCCCTCACCTGAGGATGTCTGCTGTGGCTGGCACAGAAAAGGCATCTGAGGAGACTGCAGGTGAAAGGAAGGAGAGAAAACCCTGCCAAGTAAAGCTGTCGGTGATAGGTGGCCACCAGCATGAGAATTTCAGAAAGCAATCAGGGATTTTTTTTTTCGCTTTAAGAATTACTGTGATATAGTCGAATGAACAGAAAAGAAGATATTCAAGAGATAGCACCTCAACAGATTCTCTTAACCTGACTCCTCTAGGAGGCTTTCAAATATTCAGAGACTGCAAGAAACTTCTTTAAAGAACAACCAGTTCTGAGATATAATTTACATACAACAAAAGGTACCTCTTGAGGTGAACAGTCTGCTGCATCTTAACAAATGTATACACCCCTATTACAGCCACTACGCAAAACAAAATGTTTTCATCACCTTTGTAGTTTCAACTTCAAATTCTCACAGATCTGTTTTATGACACTATATTTTAGTTTTTCATGTTCTTGAAATTCTTAAAAATTTTATGCTGTATGTTCTCATTTGTGTTTGCCTTCTTTTGCTAAATATTATTCCATTGCAGAGATACACCAGAATTTCTTTATCCATAATCCTGTTGATAGACCTTTGGACTGTTCCCAACCATTAGCTGTTATGAATAAAACTGCTCTATCACATTCATGTTCAAATCTTTGAACATACGTTTTCATTTTTGGGGGACAAAGACCCAGTAGTAGAATTGCAGGATCACATGGTTAAGTGAATATTTAACTTTATACTGCTTTTCAAAGTGATTGTATCATTTTACAACCCTACCAGCAATGTAAAAGAAATACAATGTTTTTAATTTTAGCCATTCTATTGATTTTGTACTGGTATCTTTGTGGTATTAATTTGCTTTTCCCTGATGACTAATGATGATAAACATTTGATATGGTCATTCATATATTTTCTTTTGTGAAGTGTCTGTTCCAATCTTTTGACCTTTATTTTATTAGATTGATTAACCTTCTTAGCCCTAGTTAGAGCTCTTCATCCATTCTGGATGCAAGTCCTCTGTTAGATAATAGGAACCACAAATATTTTCTCTTTTGTGGCTTGCCTTTACATTTTCTTAATGGTATCTCTTATCAACGTTCACCTTTTATGGATAATTTTGTGTTAATTACCACCTAAGAAATCTTTGCCTATCTCAATGTCACAAAACTTTTTATCCTGTTTCCTTCTGGAAGATAAATAGTTTTAGCTTTTGTCTATGCTCCATATCAAGTTAATTTCTGAATACAGTGTGGATAAAAGTTGAAGTTCATTTTTTTCCCATACAGGCATCCAGTTATTCTAGCACCAGCTGTTAACAGAACCATCTTTCCTCCATTGGATTATCGGGGCAAATTTGTTGAATATCAATTCATCATATATGCATAGGTCTATTTGTGGACTCTTTATTGTGACCCATTTTTCTTATTTCTACCTTTAGGGCTATCTTGATTATTATAGTTTTATAATCAGTTTTGAAACCAAAGAGTATAAGTACTCAACATAGCACTTTTCCCCACAAATTTATTCTAATTATTACAGACCCTTTGAATTGCCATATGAATTTAGAATCAGCTTGTCAAATTCTAAACAAAAGCCTAATGGAATTTTGATTATAATTACATTGTTCACTATATATATTCAATATATTGTTATCATAACAATATTGTGCCTTCTAATTAATTAACATGGTAAACCTCACATTTATCTAAGTATTCTTCAATTTTTCTCAGAATTGTTTTGGAGTTTTTGATAAAGTTTTGAACACACTCTATTAAATTTATCCCAAGTATTTCATGCTTTTTTGTGTGATTATAATGATTTTCTTTTTACTTCATTCACTAAATATTTATTGCTAATATATAGAAAAACAACTGATTTTTACAAATTGACTTTGTATGGTGGGATCTTGCTAAATTTAGTTATTTGTTTTAGCAGTTGTTTTTCTAGAGTTTGTATTATTTTCTATAATAAAGTTTTCTTGAGGATTAGGGACACGATTGATTATAAAGAAGCATAAAAAACTTTTTGGGGTGATAGGATGATGGTTCCATATCTTGGTTTGGTGTGGATTACATGACTGTGTGCATTTGTCAAAAATTTATAGAGCTGCTGTGGCATCTTACTACACTGATGGACAGTGACTGCAATGGGGTGTGGGGAGGGGACTCGATAACAAGGGTGAGTATAGTAACCACATTGTTTTTCTTGTGAAGCCTTCATAAGATTGTATATCAATGATACCTTAATAAAAAAAATAAAATAAATTTATAGAGCTGTTCACATAAAAGGGTGAATGTTATTGTATGTAAATTATACCTCAATCAACTGCCAAAAGAAGAGATAATTTAAAACAATGATACTCAAACTGCTCTATAATAGCAATTGTTCTCTCAGAGTTTGTGATACACATAATCAATGGTTTACTGTTTCAGATTAAAGCTATCTAAACCTAAAGCACAGGACAATTTCAAGATTTTCTGAGATAATCACAGCATATAATATCATATATCAACTACATTTTGCTGTTCCATTTTCTGTCCCTGCTTTTACAAAAAAAAAAGCAGGTTAGTAAATAATCATAATAAGGTTAATGTTATTTACCTAGTAGAACACCTGGCAAAGGTTTCTGATTAATAAAAACGTTAATAGAAAATTCTGTAACACAAATTTTTAAAAATCAATATACTACGGAAATATAGTTGAACAGAGTAGTATCTAGAAGGTAACATTCAAGGCTTCTTCACCTGTGTATCTGGATTTGAAGGAGTCAATGTAGCATGCAGCATCATTTTCTTTAATGGCCATCTGCTCTCCCAAAGATTTAGCTCCCATTCCATAAATGATTCCATAGCATATCTGAAAAGGAGTCATCACACTCAGGAGGTAAATTAAAGGTCATAAATAACATAAAATGTGAATATAAAAAGTCCATTAAGATTGAGATTTGGTAAAATCTCTTTTTATTTCACAGCAAGTCAAAGAAATGATTAGATCTGATTTTGGTGGGTTAGATTCATAGAGGCTGATATCCAATGAACATTTTTGCTTTTTAGCAAAACTTGGAGGAAGAAGGGTCAGAATAGAACAATTATGAATGTGTGTGTTTTAAGAAAATAAGCCTATTGATGATTTATTTCTGACTTGTCATTTACCCAACAAGTCTTCAGAACAGCTTTCTATTCCTTATACTACCTGATTAACTTTTGCTTAATAAGTGTCTGGAAGTCAGAATCATTACAAACATTCCTCTCCTGGTGCTTGGATAGGACTAACAGAGCAGGAAACATAAGCTTCATGGCTGGATAACAGGGAAGACTTCATTGGAAATAAATATCCTCTTCACTTCACAGCCACCTGAAATCCCACCAATGCAAAATTCATCTGGGTCAAACAAACTCCTGAGGAAATATTTGGAGAAGTAGATGCAAATGTCTAAATAGGTCAATAAAGGGACTCTGATTTAATAGTAAATATTGCCTGGGTTCAAATGCTAGTTCCAGCACTTACAAGATGTATTTCTAACACAAGCTACCTAAACTTTTGGTATCATGATATCTTCATCTATGAAATGAGGACAGTAATACCTATATCATAGGATTGTTAGGATTAAATGAGTTATTATAAGTGTTCAGGAAACTGACATACAAAGCGAGTTCTATATAAAAACTGTTGAATAAAACTTAAAAAGATAATTTGCAAAAACTGATTATCAGAATTCATATATATATATATGTTTTGTTTTGTTTTGAGCAGTGAGAAAGCTTGATTTGATAGTGTGCACTTAAGAAAGGAAAGTGCGAGTATCCTGAGAGAGGAGGCATACTGAAAGTTTGGGGATTCTGTTTTTTTTTTTATGGTGTCACTAATATACAATCACATGAGCAACACTGTAGTTACTAGATTCCCTCCATTATCAAGTCCCCACCACATACCCCATTACAGTCACTGTCCATCAGCATAGTAAGATGCTATAGAGTCACTACTTGTCTTCTCTGTGCTATTCTGCCTTCCCTGTGACACCCCTACATTATGTATGCTAATCATAATGTCCCTCAATCCCCTTATCCCTCCCTCCCTGCCCACCCTCCCTAGTCCCTCTTTCCCTTTGGTAACTGTTAGTCCATTCTTGGGTTCTGTGAGTCTGCTGCTGTTTTGTTCCATCAGTTTTTGCTTTGTTCTTATGCTCCACAAATGAGTGAAATCATCTGGTACTTGTCTTTCAACACCTGGCTTATTTCACTGAGCATAATACCCTCTATAGCTCCATCCATGTTGTTGCAAATGGTAGGATTTGTTTTCTTCTTATGGTTGAATAATATTCCATTGTGTTTATGTACCACACCTTCTTTATCCATTCATCTACTGATGGACACTTAGGTTGCTTCCATTTCTTGGCTATTGTAAATAGTGCTACAATAAACAGGGGTGTGCATATGTCTTTTTGAATACAGGATCCTGTTTTCTTCAGGTAAATTCCTAGGAGTTGAATTCTTGGGTCAAATGGTATTCCTATTTTTAGTTTTTTGAGGAAACTCCATACTGCTTTCCACAATGGTTGAACTAATTTACATTCCCACCATCAGTGTAGGAGGGTTACCCTTTCTCCACATCCTCGCCATCATTTGTTGTTGTTTGTCTTTTGGGTATTGCCCATCCTAACTGATATGAGGTGATATCTCATTGTGGTTTTAATTTACATTTCTCTGCTGATTAGAGATGTGGAGCATCTTTTCATGTGCCTGTTGTCCATTTGTATTTCTTCTTTGGAGAAGCACCTGTTCAGATCCTCTGCCCATTTTTTAATTGGGTTATTTGTTTTTTGTTTGTTGAGGCACACGAGCTCTTTATATATTTTGGATGTCAATCCACTAATGGATATATCATTTATAAATATACTCTCCCATACTGTAGGATGCCTTTTTGTTCTACTGATGGTGCCCTTTGCTGTACAGAAGGTTTTTAGTTTGATATAGTCCCACTTGTTCATTTTTGCTTTTGTTTCCCTTGCCCAGAGAGGTATATTCATGAAAAAGTTGCTCATGTTTATATTCAAGAGAGTTTTGCCTGTGTTTCTTCTAAGAGTTTTATGGTTTTCATGACTTACATTCAGGTCTTTGATCCATTTCAAGTTTACTCCAAAATATTTTTAATGTAGTAACACAGTGACTGGTATTCTGTTTTTTTTCCTTTTTTTGTTTTTAATACATTACAATGAATTTTTTCCCTCCTTTTTCCTTTTCTTTTTGGCCTTTTTATGCTTTATTTTGTTGTGCCTCCTACTTTTTTTTAAACTCAGATATTACATAGTGTTGGCTGAAATCTCAGCCAAGACTCAAGGATTAGATCGTTCAGTGCATGGAGATTTAGGACACAAAAATTGGTACAGCATAAAAACTATTAAATTTTCCAAGACCATATTATACAGAAGTACTATCATCAGTGGATAAGGGTTCAAGTTATGGGGTCAGAATGTCTAAGCTCAGGCCTTCTGAACTTACCCCAGCTCCACCACTCATACCTGTATAACCTTCCACAAATTATTAGCTTTCTATGCCTCAGTTTCCTCCTATATAAAATGGGAATAAAATATTACCTATTTTATGGGTTTATTATGAGGAATAAAATATTACCTATTTTATGGGTTTATTATGAGGAAAAAATTACCTATTTTTACCTGGGGTTTGATTCTTGCTAAATGTAGGAACCCAGAGGATATTTAATAAAGAGGACAAAGCTGGCTTTCTATAAGGTAGAAGAAACCAGTGCTAGTGCTAAAAAGGCAGAGGTAAGTGTTTCATGCCTACTGAGCCAGTCAAGAACTGCAGCCACAACTAGAAACATCAGCACAACACTAGCAAAGCAGGATCTTACCAGAACGGCTGGTGTGTGTTTGCCTCAGCCAACAGCCCTACCCTCTTGCAAATGGAATCAGATTTCTCACAGATTATGCAGCAAGGTAGCATCAGTGTGAATCAAGTCAGGACATGGCGTAAACGTGGCCTCTGACTCTCTGGGCCTGACAGAATTCCAGGAGTAGGAACTAACATGAAAGGCCCAAGGGCAGCATAAGCTCCACAGGTGGATTAGCTAACCAAGGCCCTCAGAAAAATAAAATGCTATCAGTTATTAGTTACAACCCACAACTCAGCAATATTTACTTTTCAAAGAGCATTTAGGATCACCTTTCTATAAAAAGCACTATGGTTCAATGCTGTGTGAAATAGAAAGATGAAAATATGAACACTTATAAATTAGAGAGAGATTTAAAAACATACACACATATATAATAACTACCACCACCACAGTATCTACCACTAATGCATATGGCTTTCCTGACACTAAGTGACCTCAGACTAAGTCTGATTCTTTCTGCAGACCCTATATTTGGGAAGTGCAATGAACGCCATGAGACAGGATCAGAAGAATGTGGTTTGAAAGATCCAAAGATGGAGAAATCATCCCTCAACTATGAATGACCAAGACAATATTTTAATTTTTTTGAATCATTAAAATTCTCTTCATTTATGTTCACTAAGATCACCTGCTTTGCTTGTTGCCTCAGATCATCCCCAACAGACTCTGGCCCAACCATCTTCCATTCAGCTGCAATACTCTTGAAAACATCAGCTCCAGTGTTCAATACTTGAATGAGACGATGATCTTGGGATAAATGAGCAAAAATCCTCAGCTCAAGTTGAGAGTAATCAGCAGCTAATATTAAACCACCTGAAATAGAAATGACTTTAGAAAAAATGGTACAAAGACAAACCTAAGTTTTGTATAATTTTGATCAGGATGACAGAAATTGAGTTTAACATAAATCACGTGCCCAAAAGTTAAAAGCTCACTCTAAACATGATGCAATTCACTTAATTTAAATCACTTTTTATTCTATTTAGATTGCAAGCATATGTAATACGTGTAAAGCCACCCCTGACCTCTGCCCCTTAATTATTGTGGTTAATGCTTTCTTCAGTATTTCCACAGCTCCTGACACAGAATCTAAAATGGTTCTGTCATGCTCTACCATGTAGCACTGAGCCATGAGGGATAGAAGACTTAATTTTTTTTGCATTCTATAGAAAACCTTGCACAGTTCCTGGCATATAATAGGCCCTCACATGGTTACTGAATTAATGAACTAATTAATTAATGGAGAAATTCATTTCTAATGCACACACATTTTAAGTGGGCTGGAGGGAAATATGTGCTCTGCTTTGACAATAACAAAGAAATCCCATGAAAAAAATCAAGTGCAATCCAAGCCCAAAGACTGCTGCATAGATTACCTGCACACAGATTAAAATGGTTTAAATTCAAATTTCTTTACTGATAACACAATTCTGTAATACAAACACCTTAAATGAAAAAAAACAAGGCACACAATAGTGTACGTGAAATGTTTGTTTTTGTGTAAGAAAAGGGGATGAAAATATTACATATGATTTGTTTATACCTGCATAGAAAATACCAGAACAATATATAAGAAACTCGCATATGTAGTTACCTGTAAGAGTTGTAGATAATAGGGTACCTAGGACAGGGAAGGAAGCAAAGCTTCTCAATATGTACCTTTCATATATTTTGATTTCTTAACTACATGAATGAATAACCAATTCAAAAATATATAAATACTGATTTTAAACCAAATAACCATAACTTTAATGGCCTTCCTGCCATAAACAAGATAAAACTGGGTGAAATATATGAAATAACTGTTTTCATATGTAGGACAATGGGCAATGGGGGACTATAATCCCTGAGAAGTAGGGAGCAGAGAGGAGATAAGGGGACCCATGCAGCTACCGCAGATTTCAGAATGGAGGCACTTTCCAGAGTGTTCTGCTGGGAAGAAGAGCTGAAACAAAGCCCCAGTGTCTCTCTAAGCTGAGGAAGCATAGACTGGAGCTTGGGCCTACTGAGGCATCTGGGATTTGGGAAAATTTGGAGAGAAAGGCACTGTGCACAAAAGGAGCACCAGAAATATGCACAGTAATCTTTGTGCATTTTTGACCAAATGCAAAGCTGTGCAGGGCGAAAGTTTAGGGAACCAGGCAAAGAACAAATGCTAAAGAAATAACTATTACCAAAGAAAGAACTACCATCACATAGCTGTCAGCTGAACAACTTGAACAACATCTTAAATGTTGAGAGATGTTCAAGCTGTGACCAGACTAAGTGACCTGTTGAACACCTTGAGCACTAAGTAGAGCCCCAGCAAGGCCACACCACACAGTCAAGATTAATTTAGCCCTGGAATAAGGGCCACTCTAAACATCTGTTAACAAATCATTAAAAATGCCAAAATGATCAAGCTGATGTGAAATTATATGCCAGAATAATAATGGAACAACCGTAATGTCCAGTAAATGGTAAGAAAGATAATAGACATAAAAAGAACTAAATGTAACTCTGACTGGGAGAATACAATCAACAGAAAAATGCCCAGCAATTACAGAAATAATGCAATTTTAAATGGCTACCATAAATATGTTAAGGAATTTAAAGAAATATGAACATAATGATGTAGTAAATAGTGAATTGCAATAAAGTAATGAAAAAATCAAATGAAAATTCTAAACTAAAAATACACTATCTAAAATGTAAAATTCACTTCAAGGATGTGACAGCAATTAGACACTATAGAAGAAAAGATCTCTGAACATTAAAGCAGTCAAAGCAGTCAACAGAAAAAATTTATTGCAGCACAGAGTATAAAAAGAGAGAGAAGAGAATAAAAAAGAAAAGTCTTCATTAATCTGTGGGACAATACCAAGTAGTATCACATACATACAATTTGGAGTAACAGAAAAAAAGGAGAAATAGGGACAAAAAAATGGTACAAGGAATAATGGTTGAAAATATTCCAAATTTAATGAAAAATATAAACACATAGATTTAGGGAAAAAATTAAGCTCAGGAAATTCAGCAAGTTCAAAAATTCCAAAAAGCAAAGCATGAAAAACTATTCAGACACTCCCAAACCAAATTGCTAAAATAAAGTAACAAATAAATTTGAAAAAGCATCGAAGGAAAAGATACATTATGCTTGGAGGAATAGCAAGAAAAACAGTGCTTTACTTCTCATCAGAAATAGTGCAAACCAAAAGTTAATGGAAATACATAATTAAAGTGCTGAAAAGGAATATTTAAAGCAAAAAAAACTAGAAATCTATGTCAAATAAAAATATCTTTCAAAAATGAGGATAAGATAAAGAAATTTAGAGAAATGGAATGCTGAGAGAAATAAATCATTGTCAGTAGAAGAAGAGACCTTAAAGGAAGTACTGTGGGTGAAGAAAAATGAAAACAGATAAAAACTTGAGTCAACCACAAGGAACAAACGGTGCCAGAAATGGTAAAAACCGGGCAGATAGAAAGACACTTTTTTGTTTCTTGATTTCTTGAACAGATAATTGAATATTTAAAGCAAAAAACAAGAACTATGTAGCAGAGTTTACAATAGTCATGAATTTAAATCTACTACAAGAAAGGAGAAATGGAAAAATACTCTTTACGTTATATAGTAATATAAAACTATTTGAAGATAGACTACAATGTAATGCATATTGTAAACTCTAAAATATCTAAGATATATTGTTACTAAGACAGCAGAGGAAGTAAAACAATAAAAATAATCTTTACTAATGTTTTAAAACAGATCAAGGATAGAGCAAATAAAATATAAATAATACAGTAGTAGAATTCAATCCAACCATGTATCAGTAATTACTTTAGATGTACATGGACTAACACTATATTTAAGTGGCATAAATTTTCAGATTGAATTCATATACATTAAACTTAAATTAACTTAAAATTTTAAAACAAAAGTGGTATAAAATAGTTACATGAAACACAATTTTATTATTTAGATAAGAGTAAATTGATGGATGAACAGAAAAATTAAGTATATACATACAATCGAATATTATCCAGCCTTAAAATGAAAGGAAATTCTGACACATGCTACAACATGGATGAGCCTTGAAGACATTAGTCTATATGAAATAAGTCAGGTACGAAAGGACAAATACTGTATGAATCCACTTACATGAGGTACCTAGTCAACTCCATAGAGATAGAAAGTAGACCAACAGTGGCCAGGGGCTAGGAAATGGCAGAGGGGATTCTGTGTTTAATGGGTACAGAGTTTCAGCTGGGGAAGATGAGAAAGTTCTGGAGACAGATGGTGGTACCGGCTGCCCAACAATGCGAATGTATGTAATGTCACAGAACTGAAATTCTTAAAAATGATTACAATGGCAAAATGCTGATAGTTCATATTTAAAAAGCAAAACTGAAAATTGCCAAGCAGGTTATGGTATCATAGATCTGAATTCACCTTTCAGAATGTAAGTTTCTGACAGAATTCAAATAAATTCAGATGGTTAACTGTACTCATCCAGACCTGCCAAGCTGGCAAAAGATAAAGGAATAAATATATATACTAATAGTTGGGATGATGTGGGAGTTAGAGCATGACTTCCAAATGCCTTGATGACAAAGAGGTTTGTAACTAAAGTCCTGAAAGGCCAGGCAGAAGGAGGATGGCCTTGGGGGTTAACTAAGCAACAGGAAACATTGGCATGAAGAAGAGGGAGAAACAAAAGAGCAAAACAAATCAGAAAGAGAGACCAAAAAATTGTGTACTTAGAGGTCAAGCGAGGACAGATATTGAGGAAAGTGAGGGTTAATATGCAGAGCTCAAAGAGGAAGAAGACTAACAAAATCCACTGGACTTTGCAAAGATGTTTGCCACCACCTTGTTAAACATGGTCTCAGCAGACTGCTGTGATGAGCACACACCCCAGAAGTTCCCACAGAGCAGATCATGAAGACAATGATCAGTGACTGTCACAAACTGGCCAACACAAAGAGGGAAAACAGGCTACCCTGCAGAGAGGAAGGACTGGGGGACAAATGCCTGCTTCTGCATCTTACTCATAATGCAGCCTCTATCAGCGCCCGGAAAGCCATTCCCACCACCTGAGAAGCCCAGGAAACGATGAGCCGCCTCACCCGGGAAGGGCACGAAGGCATGTCGCATGCTGATGGAAAACGGCATCCCTCTGTCCGAGGCTCTCTCCTCCGCCTGCGCCTGGTGCCCAGGGTTTGGGTCACAGCCCTTCTTATTTCTCCCTCTGTCATGCAAACAACACCATCAGCTGGACATGAAGCAGTCTCAAATATATGAAAATGGTCCAATTTTTCAATAAAATCATTATTTCATTCTAAGAAGCTTAAAACCTTTATTACTCAAAACTCACTTTAAAGCTTAGAGATACTAGACTTTTTAAGTAAACGTTCAATTAAAACAGGAAGACATTTCTACTGTAGCCTTTCCCACAAACTGCTTCTGAAATAACTCACTGACATGTAGCTCAAATCAATAAATCTCTTTGACCATACCTAATGTAAGTTATTTGTGCTTTTTATTCCTTTTGTATGTATATGAGGAGGCTAGGAGGGGGGATATTCCTGACATTATTAAACTCTTCCCTTTAGTCTTGAATTAAATAAATATATTGTGTGGGTTGATTTAATTAGTGACCCAGTTTTTCATCCTTTCTCTATCAACTAGCTTCTTTATAAAGTCACAATTTGAAAGGACAGTGGCTAGAATAGAAATGTGTATGTGTGGAACAGAAAATTAATTTCATTATTTTGTCCAATAGGCTATTTTTGGGCCATTCACACTCACAAAAGTATATTAACACAAATACAGAGAAAGAGAGTCTACCTGCCAGGGAGAAATTGTCCTTTGCCTAGGGCTTGGGAAGGTGGGCTTTCCCCGACTAGTGTTGGCATTTTGATCTCAAAGTCTCTTGGCACATTCTGAATATTTGGTTCTGTAAAGGTTATTCGTCCTAAAATCAAGCAGAATGAAGATATACAATTAGGGGGGAAATCTGGCATTTACTGTAATAGTAACTACATTTCTGAATTATCTTAAAAATACATGCTCTCTTATAGCTAAACTAGATTGATATTTAAATGAAATGTGTTTCATTATGTTCATGTGTCTAACAGTGATAAAATAAGTACAAGATGAATCCCAGTATAAGTGAATATATGAAACAGTTACAATACGATGTTGGACATTAACCTAGCTCTCTAGAAAACAATGCCACTATAAGAAGTAATTTGATTAATGCAACTATTTCTATGCTAAAATGAGTACCAGATATCAGCACTATAAAATGTTAGCAGTACTATTGAGTAAAAATTAATCAAATGGAGCCTAGGAGAAATCCATTTGCCAAAGCTTTTAAAGGCAAGAAATGCACAGGAGAATGAGAAGAGGACCTGGAGCAGAAGAACAATTTAGTGTTGAAGAGGGATAAACAAGGCCAGAGAAGTCAGCTAATGTGGGACATGCAGCAGTGAGCGGTGGCAACTGGGGCGTTACTTTCTAGAAATCACCTGTCTGGTTTGCTTCACATCAGCATCACTCATCAAGAGAATCAACAGTAGCACTGACATGGCTGGAGACTAGAATCAGGCGGTTAATGAATTTTCTAGGAAACAGAAAGCTATTTGTTTTAATGCTTAGAGCCTTTATTTCCACCCAAATATTTTACATTTTATTAGTTAACTTACTGGTTGGATTTTTCTAGAACACATAAGCATTATTCAAAAAAAGCTTGGTAATTGATTTTGTTACTGCAGTTTTTATACTACATATATAGTAACACACAGCCTCTGTTTTATGATGCAGTCTTTGTTGTAATAGGCTCTACTAGCTACTATATATATAATCTTCTTTTGATGAATCAGACATTTGAAGTACCTCAGATATTGCTTTTCTGAGTAAACCTTTGATATTATACCCTTGTTATTTAGCTTTAGCAAAAATTAGTGCTCAGTTAATGGTAAATAATCAATACTCTTATTATCATTAAATGGCCTGTTCAATGTTACAAAGCTAACAAATAGCAGAGGAAGGAACCCAAGTCTCTTTCTGTCTCACCACCCTGTCGTCTTTTTTATGAAATACTCAATATTCAGGTCCACTGTTTGAATTAATGAGATAACACTGGCAGGCAAACAAGAAGGCAAAAATAAATTATAAAACATGAATGAAGCTTCATGGGGATCAATTCTAATATTGAAATGGCTTTGTTATGCTTAGGTAAGCTTGTACAACTGAACCTTGGACAACATGGGTTTGAGCAGTATGGGTTTTTTCCAATAAATATATTGGAAAAATTTTTGGAGATTTGTAAAAATTTGAAAGTACATTTGCTTTTTTCTAGCTTATTTTATTGTAAGAATACAGTATATGACTTACAAAATATGTGTTAATCAACTGCTTATGTTATTGGTAAGCTTCTGGTCAACACTAGGCTGTTAGCCGTTAAATTCGGGGGGAATTAAAAATTACACTCAGATTTTCGACTGCATGGGGCATTGACCCTGCATTGCTCAAGGGTCAACTGCATTTCTAAAATATACTTTAAATGTAGGCATAGTATGATGAAAACCAATACAAAAAAGAAAAAAGGAAATTGATTACTTTCTGCTTTATAAGCAACAAATAAATATGCAACATCTTTGAAAACTACAGGCTCTTTTTTTCACCAACAAGGTATATTTTACATAAGTTTACATCATTAGCATATGTTTCAAAATGTAATTTAAATACCACTGGGCAATAAATGGCAGGGAAGGACCAAGAGGTTAGCTAAATAGGGAAGAAGGAAGAGAGAAGTTGTGTAGAACAGGGAATAAGCAAGCAGGGAGAAAGACAGCGCCTCATGGTGCTGCCATCAGCAACAGCGGCAGCAACTGAGAATGAGCCATACACTAAACACTTCCCCTACTGAATCCTTGGGATGACCCAGTGAGGCAGGACTATCATTACCCTTGTTTATACATGAGGAAACTGAGAGGTTAAGTACCTCGTCAAAGATTCACAGCACCAGGATTCAAACCTTATAAAACTCTGATATCAAAGCCCACATTCTATGCCACCAATCTAAACTGCCTCCCCTGAGAAGTTAACGCTGCCCTTTCTTCCACTGCACACTGCATATGACAAATGTTTAGAGCTTTGCACAGCCTACAGAAAGAATGCTTTTTTCCTCATCAGATTACATTCAGAGCTATCCCAAGAGAGTCCTGAGACACCCAAAGGACTCTAGAATTTTCTTTTCTGATTGAGTAAAATAATACACTCACTTATACAGAAGCTCCACAGACCTATTTAGATTCAACTTGGAGAGAATTTTAAAAGGTTCAGGAGAAGGCTGCTACTGAAATTAGATAAGATCACTTACTCAAAATAATATTTAATTCCTGGGTATACTCTCATCCAAAGCACAGTCTCAGACATCCCAGTTTTTCTAAACAATACTTGAAAGCAGGAACTATATCTGAGTAAATAACATTTCCAAATGTTATCCATCTGTGCCTTGGATGTAATATGTGTTTCATAAATGTTTATGGAAATTCATTGAACCCAGTGATCAGCACTTGAATATCTTGGTCATCATAAACAAATGTTATAAGTGATGATTTTTTTCTTTCAAAATTGGCTAATACCCATATTTAAGATTTCTCATTACCTGTAGCAGTGTGTGACTGTGATATAGGATAGATTCTTTCCATGCCAAGAGAAGGATTCAGATGCTTTCCCCGCTGCAGAGGAAAGACCACTTTGGTAATAGCATTAGTGATTCTTCTCCACTCTAATATCAATCCTGGTAAAGGATGTAATGCTTTTAATTTATTTAAAACATCCTGCCAAAGAAATATAATAAGGTAAGATCAGATTCTTGCCCAAATTTCATAACAAACTAGAATATTTTGTTTAGGTAATGTAGTCTCAAAATTAAATTTGTTAACTCCTATAATTACAACTCAAAATTACTATTTGGGTTTTTTGGCAATCACCTAAAATTATGATAACTATAATCACTACAATGATAAAACCATAATTATAGATTATAAAATGCAAACATGTTACTGCTGAGAAATATCAATTCAGATCTACCTTTAAGAACAATGAGATGTTAACTTAGCAAAGTAACTGTCTCCCCACACCCACCCAATAGTTTATATCACCTCTTTCCTTTCTCTATATTTTCCTCCTCGATTCCTCATGTGGTAGGGAGTTTCAGGTTTTTCTTTTTTTTCCTTTTTGGACTAATACTTTCATGATTTCCAAATGGAAATCAGAAGACACTCATTTTTAGAGCTTTGAATTTTCCATGCTACAGACTTTTGATGGGTCATTAAGGAACTGGAAGCATGAGGTAAAGGGCCATTGAGATCAAAGAAGCTCTGCTACAGAAGCTGCGGAAACTTCACCAGAGCAGGCAAGTCATGGTGAATGATGTTAGGGTCAGAACTGTACAGAATGGCAACTCGGACTGCTCTTCCCGTGGCTGCTGTGGCTGTCGTTTCTACTCTTATTTTTCCATTGAAAATTCATTCAGTAAAAATGTAAAATTAAATGCTTTTGCTCTTCTCTTCCATTCACACAGTTCCACAGATTGTGATTAGCAATTTTACTTTGAAATTAGCAGATTAGATTCTTAAGTTCATGGAAAACTATTTTTCCCAAGAATTGAAAAGAAAATGTTTTATTTGAATTGGCTGTTTTGGTTTATTTTTAATTCTTCCAGGACTTTGTTCATGCTCATATAACTATACATATTATACTAAAGTGGGAGTCCAAGGATAGTGAATGTCAAAATAATGTCTACAGGTCTGAGTTTACAAACATTTATACTGTTTTGATGATAGGAAGGACACAATTACTAACGCAGATTATGGGTCAGATTTTCCATGCTGGAATGTCTCCATAGTTTTTGAGGGAAGCCCAACCAAAAACCTATTTGTATTCTATCTGGGTAAGTTCAAATGGTGAGCTATGTTGGATCTTGATTTCATTAGCATACTTTCAAGACACCAAAATGCTAAAGGTAATTCAGATTTTGCCCTGTGACTTCCCCAAAGAGCACCTTACTAGTGCTGAACTGTTTTCCCAGCCTTAGCTTGCGTCCATTGTTATTGCCTCTTCTGGTAGAACCCAAAGTTTTCTTGCTGCCTTGGTTTTTAATCTCTCCATTTGGTGGCAATTTCAATTCCAAAAATAAAACCTGCAAGAAATTAATGCTTCTTTAGTCAAGAATTAAAGTGCAAGTACTGTCATGCAGAAAGCATTTAAAAAAGTTATTTGGGAAACAGTCTCTATAGTTCAACACAGGTTGGAAGAATTTTTTTTTTTTTACAATTTGGAATTATCACATTTAATAAATAATGGCAATGAAATCCATACGTCAAGTAGGCTGTCCATGCCCTAATTTAGACACTCTCAGATTAATACTAAGACCAGGCTTTTAAACAGTCAAGAATACAGGAATGTATATTGTACAGTGAACAAGTGACAAATAAGTTATTGACCCTGAGACTTTAGGGTGCCTGTGAGCTCTCCTAAATACCCCTTCATGTGATAACCAATGTAGCTGCTCAATCATTTAAAATCCACAGAGGGTCATAATGGCAGCCTTCATGGTTATTGTGTGGTTACAAGAAACAGAGAACACTAAGGTAGGAAGGGGTCCAAAAAGCTATCTAATTCCACCAACATATGGCTGGACTCAGAGAGTCCCTGAGCACAAAAAGTCGGAGAAAGTGGCCAACCCAGTGTAGCAATAATGGAAGCCAGAAAGTGGCCATTAAGCATCCACTGAAGAAATGAGTACGCAGGGTAGGGCTCCAGACTCTGAGCCAGAGGCAAGATCCCGTGTATACCTGAAATTCACTAATTCAAATTATAGGGGTTAAAGCTCAGGCAATTCAGAATACTACCTACTATGTCTACTCATTCCTTTATATACCTGGAGTGGGCTTCAGTGAACCTTGAATTATTTTCCTGATAATAATCCTAAAAACTGAAACTATTTGCATAAATATAAGAATTTTTCTACACATTGGGCTATGGGTAAAAGGAAAGATATGACTGTGCTTCCTTAGAAGAGTAGTGATGATAGAAACAAAGATCTGGTTCTAGTTTCAAATAGTGGAAGTGATTGGGATCTTAAGTATGAAAGGCTTATTGAGGTTTATTATGGATATTAGTAATTACTTTGCCCAAGAATTTGTTCTATAAATACGCATGTGTAGGGATTAAGGTTGTCATATTTAAAAAATAAAATATAAGATGTTCAATTACATTTGAATTGTATGGAGAATACTTAGACTAAAATATTATCTATTGTTTATCTGAAATTCAAATTAAACTGAATGTCACATATTTTATCAGGCAACTCTAGTACAGATATCAAAGAGTATATGAATGACAGGATAGGAGAGATAATCAAATATCCAAATAGAAAAAATGAAACATTAATAAACCAATAATCCCAGGAAGGGAAACCTATCATGATGAAGACAGTTCAAAGATCTCAAGTTATGTAATTAAAAGTTCTTTATCTTAAGCTTCTACTTTTAGTGAAACCTTCAGAATTAATTGTGAAAACTTCATATATATATTACTTCTCCAGGTCTTAATTAATACATCTGTGAAATGAGGGAGTTGAACTAGATGGGACAAGAAGCACTAATGTTTACTGAGCACTTTCTGTGTGCAAGCCAATATGCTAGGTGCTTTAACATGTCATCACAGGAAATCTTTATAACAATTCTGTGACAAAGCTGAAAAGTTTAGAAAGTTGGAGAAACTTGCTCAATGTTACATAGCCAAAAGATAGTAAAATTAAGAAGTAGAGCCCAAAGTTTTCTAACTCTTAAGTTCTTTTTCTTTCCCCTAACCCATGCTTCCCTCTATACAAAGGGTCAGGAAACTTTTCCCATAAAGGCCAGGTAATGGATATTTTCAGCTTTACAGGTTTCACCATATGTCACAACTTCTTAACTGTGCTGTTCCAGACTGAAAGCAGCCACAGACAGTAAAGCACAGCAAGTAAATGAACAAGTGTGGCTGTATTCAAATAAAATTTTTATTTACAAAAACAGGTGGCAGGTTAGAACTGGTCTGCAAGATGTATGCTCTAAGCCAGTACTATCCAAAGAACATTTTACAATCATGGAAATGTTCTATATTTGCACTGTCCAATATGATAGGTGCTAGCCACATATGGCTAGAGCAGCTAAAGAACTAAATTTATATATTTTATTTCATTTTAAATTATTTAAATTTAAATAGCTACAAGAGGCTAATAGTTCCTATATTGGACAGTGCAGCTCTGGATGCTTAGCAATATCCTACTCAGTTCAAAGATTCACCAACACTGGTGATAAAAATCACCAAAGATCAAATGGCCAATGTGTGAAATTGTTATACTACCTTAAATATAACTTCCATTTTAACATGAACACATAAGACCAATCTAATAACACCAAACGAACCTTTTATTCTAGCGTAGAGTTTGGTCTAGGCCTATGGCTTACATGCCTTAGTACCTATCTGAATCACAAAGGCACAGACGCCTACTTGTGCTAAAATCCAGAGATTCTATATTTTTTTGGTAAGCTCATTCCCTATGTAATTTTATGTATAGTCATCTAGTTACTGAGTTGGGGAATTCTGGATTAACAAACTTAAATAAAATACTAGAAAATACCCCAAAAGTCACCACTGAATTCAATACAAATGTACCATATGATTAGGAGAAACACGGGTCCTCATTTTTTTAAACACATAACTCTGTGGCTTAAAAAAGGAGCATTTTTATGAGAATATATAACATTTATTGAACACTTATTATGAGATGGGTGCTATTCTAAGTGTTTGACATTTATCATTTCCTCACAACTCTACAAAGTATTTCTATCATAACCCATTTTATTGATGAAGAAATTGAAATATAAAGAGATGGATCAGCCCAAGATGGTTAACAAATGAAGGAGGTAGGATTCAAACCCAGTGTGACTCTAAAGCCTATAACCTTTACCAATACACTATATTACTGAATCATACCTAGGAGACCCTAGAACTTCAATGCTATCAATTGTAAGCACCTGCCTTATATTTGTGGCCCTCTAAAACAACCTAAACACCTTTTGTGGAGTGTGGGGAGAGGACAGAATAGAATACCAACCTTTGAAAATAAAAATAAGCATAAACTATTTCAAAATTTATGTAAAGTAATAAAAATCTTAATTAGGTTTCAAAAAGCAAACAGTCACAAAAAATCCTTTTTTCATTAACTTCTCTGAGAAGAATGTATAATTTTATATTGTAAAAAGAGATTCCATGAAATGACTAACTTCATGGAAAAACAGCTACACTGTCACACAACTACCACTACAGATTTTTCTTTCAACAAACATTTACTGAATGGCTCCTCTGTTCCAGGCAAATCTCCTTCTCATGGAGTATACATTCTAGGAGCATTTTACATTTGCATTGCATACATTCTTTACTACCTTCCTATTTCATAAATAGAGATATAACTTATAAAGTAGATGCTAGAATACTCTGTCTCCAAAGTGCTCTGATAACTGAATTATTTAACTGATATTTGATAGTTAAGTAAACATATTTAGGATATACATATACATACACACAAATCATTTTTAACTCTAAAAAATACTTTTCTAAAATTCCCTATTCCCAGGATACAACCTCAGCGATGTCATCTGAATTGGTGAAGGAAAAACTGTGGCCAGCTAGTTGATAGGCCTGAGATTCAATTGCATCCAGCTTGGCTTGCATTATGTGTTTCTGACTTTCACATTCTGCAGTACTAAAGCCGATTCCATTTAGTTCTAACAAGGCCAAGCAGTACTGCGAGGGCATTTCCACTTTACAGAAAACATCTGCAAGAAAAAAAGAAAACTAAAACATTAGTTCACCAGTAAATGACTAGATTAGCATCATTTCCTGAACACACATAGAATTTTTCTAGGACTAGAATTTTTCTAATCCAGAGATGCTACCCAAGGTATCCTCCTTCAAGACCAGTCTCTTGAGCAGCATTCCCAGATCAACAATGAAAGGTGTAAAAGTACTCTCCACCTTTCTACTCAAGCAATAGACTACTATCCTTGTCTATGCAGAGAGTAGAAGAACTGGCAATCTTGTGAATAGTCTGGATTACAATAGACTGCATTTCTCTCAAGATAATGTTTCTGCTTCTATTCTTAGCAAGACCAAAACAGCCAATCTTACTTGCTAAGCTGACTACAAAGGCTTAACTCTTTGAAATTATTTCCAATATTCCTGGTCCTGTGGATGCATGCTTACACAAAGAACTAAATATGGAGGTTTTATATTTTCCCGTGCTCTTACCAAAGAGTAAAGTAAAAGATAAGATTCGATCCTACAGTATTTCTCTCTGCTGATATTTCTCAACAGAGTAAGTCAGTCTAAATTAGTTTTCCCAGTAAGTTCACTGAAATATTAGTCTCAAAGATACTCTATTAAAGGATGGAGTTGAGAGACACCGTATACTGTGAGTTTCAGCATTTATATACTGCTCTTGGATATTTATGGTGCCTGTTAACATATTAAAGGCCCCGAAAAGACCAGAAGTAAAAATACGTATTTAATTTTATATTAACTGAAAGTCTGAAATTATTTGACCATAAAAGTCTTTATTTTTTATAATATTTATTAACATCCTGAAAAGTAAGCATCCATAGACTGTCCTGTGGGAAATGCTGTCCTCAATCATTAAGAAAAAATCCATACCAAAGACTTCAGCTTCCAGTACAATAGGCCGCCAGGACTCAGAACACCCCTGGCCTGCCTTCCCCAGCTCCACAGACACACGTTCTTTGAGGCATTGCTGGTCTCAGTCAGCAGGAGACATCTCCAGGGAGGCCCATAACCACAACCAAAAGCAAATGAAAAAGTGAGAGCTACTGGCCTCTAGTAGGAGGAATTTTACTGGGCAGTCGGAGCCTGGCTTTGGAGGCCTGGATCCAGAGCAGAAATTCATGGGATATGGGACCTGAGAAATAAGGAACTAGGGTCAGAATAAGTGCAGTCTCAGAACAGCACAGAGTCAGAGTGACAAGGAGCCAATTTAGCTCCTTAGCAGAAGGAAGGCGCAGGAATGGCATGGGAATGAAGTTACCAAATTGAGGGGATACAGATCTTGAGAATAGCAACAGGAGGAGCTAACTGTCAGACTCCTGAACCAAAACTCTGGTTCAGTGGCCTTGGATGCAGTGTACTTTGCTAAAGAGCAGAAGCAAGAGCAAAACCTTTCCAGAGGAAGAGTTCCCCTTAGATAGGCCTCCACTGATCAAATCCTGTATGAACTCACAAAGAGTTTGAAAAATACAAGAGAGAAAACAAATATAAATCGGATTTAGCAGAAATAACAAATGACAGAATTAAATTCCTAAGAATTGTAGATATAGAATGTTATTAGAACAGAACACAGCAGTTATGCATGAACTATTTACAGAATAAAGAGGTGAATAGAAACAAAGTAAAATCAGCAGGAAAACAGGGTACAAATATGTAAATAATCATAATGAATAGAAACGCATCAATAATCACAATAAATTGGTAAATATGTAAAAAAAAATACTTGGTAAGTTTGAAAAATAAATGAATAAGCTATACTTCATAAGACACATAAAAAGTATAAGGACTAGAAAGGTTTAAAGGGATAGTAAAAAGATGTCTGAGGCATATAATAAAAGAGAGTTGATGCTGCATATTCATCTAGAAACTAGACTAAGAATAAAAATCATTGGTGGTAGAGCTACTCACAACTTAATGATAAATGGTTTAATTCACCAGGAAGATAAACCAGTTTTAAATATGTATGCATCTAATAAAATGATCTCTAAATATATATTAAAAATAACTGGATTACAGGAAAATTATAGATTTAAACAACCTTGACTTAACAGACACTTACAAAATTCTGCATCCAAAATGAGAATATACATTCTCTTTTGTACATGGCAAATATTTACATAACAGTTCAGGATTTAGGTCACAAAGCAACTTAAAAAATTTCAAAGAATGAGTATTATACAACCATATTCTCTAACCACAGCATAATTAAGTTTTAAGGAAATAATAAAAATATAAAATAAAGAGTTCCAAATATTTGGGAATTAAAAACCAGTCTTCTAAAAAATTTGAGTCAAAAGTGTCACAGAAATGTTAAAATATTTAGGATAAAATGATGAAAGCATGACATGTCAAAACTTGTGAGATACAATGAAAGTAAGTCATTGAGGGAAATAAGCTTTATAGCCTTAAATATTTAAACTAGAAAAGAAAAAAAGTGGTTTGAAAGATGAACTTAATGTCAAACACAAATTTGGAAAAAGGACTGCAAAATAAAATCAGGGAACTAGAAGAAAAGAGATAATATAAAGGTTGACAGAAATTAAGGACATGGAAAACAAAAACAATAGGATAAATCAGTCAAAAGTTGGTTCTTTGAAAAAACTGAAAAATTGGATAAACTTCTAGTGAAATTGAACAATAAATGTTATGAATGAAAAAGGGAATACAACAGATAAATCAGAGATGGTAAAGAGAAAATCTTAGAATTTTATGACACTAAAAAAATTAACAAAAATATGACAAAAAATTTTATGACAAAATTTAAAATTCAGATAGATATTTAAAATTAAGAAAAATAGTTTACTAAAACATAAAAAGACACAATTAAATAAGCTCACGGTTTTTAAAGAAACTGAAGTAAAATATTTCCACAAAGAACAGCTATAGGCAAGTTCTACCAAAATTTCAAAGAACACATCACTTCTATAATACATAAACTCCAAAATAAAAAGACATTCATCAACATTCATCCCATGAAACTAGAATAGCTTTGTTACCAAAAACAAAGCATGAGAAAGGAAAATTTCAGGCACTATACAATGAATTGGCAAAGTGGAGAGAGTATGAATCAACGAGTTCTTTCACATTGTTTAGAGTAAACTTACACAACCTGTGGAAATAAAGGGAATCATTAAAATGGCACTGGGAGGCCAGCAAGCTGCCACTCATTATCAATTGCAGACTCCAACAGGAAGAGACTGAGACTTCCCTTGCATTCTGGACAGGAAGAAGCCTATACTTTACCAGCCCAGCAGAAGAAAACTAATGAGAGACTGTCACAACTCACCCAATGAAAAGCCACTATACCTACAACTCCCACTTTCCTCCAACGGACTTCTTGTTTATAACAGCCCTCCCTATTTGGCTCCTTCCTCTATTAAAGTGTGCTCCCCTCCTTTGTTCTCCAGACTTGCCCATGTTTTTTACCTTCATGTGCTTGTCCCAAACCACAGTTTTCTCCTATTCTCAAAATACAGCCATTTTTGCCAGTAAAATAACTGTTTTATTCTTAAGGTTAACAAACCATTCTGCAAAACAATTTAGCAAAATCTTATAAAGTTGAATATTCTCATTCCCATGACAGTAATTCCACACCCAAAAGGCATTCTTGCCCACATGTACTAGGAGACATATATATGTGTAAGAATATGCATACAGAACTACTTGTTATAGCAAAACAAAATAAATAAATAAATAAAGCCATTCATCAATAGAAAAATGGAAAATTTTGGCACTCTCACACTGTAACATATTACACAGCAGTGAAAATGAATAAACTATAGTCACTTTTAATAATGTGCATGAATCAAGAAAAGCAAGCAGAGGTGAAATAGGTTTTTTAAATTAATTAATTAATTTTTTTACTTTGATATCATTAATATACACTTACATGAGCAACATTGTGGTTACTATATTCCCCCCATTAACAAGTCCCCACCACATATCCCATTATAGTCACTGTCCATCAGTGTAGTGAGATGTTACAGAATCACTACTTGTCTTCTCTGTGCTATACTGCCTTCCCTGTGCCCCTGCTATATTATGTGTGCTAATCATAATTCCTTATTCCCCTTCTCCCTCCTTCCCACCCATCCTCCCCAGTCCCTTTCCCTTTGGTAACTGTTAGTCCATTCTTGGGTTCTGTGAGTCTGCTGCTGTTTGTTCCTTCAGTTCTTGCTTTGTTCTTATACTCCATAGATGAGTGAAATCATTTGATACTTGTCTTTCTCCAGAGATAGTTTTATAGAGTTCATAACAAGCAAAACTAAACAATATATTGTTTGGACATATATATTGCTAAATTTTTTTAATTAAAAATAAAATTTAAATTAAAAAAGATAAGGGAAAGAGACATAAAACTTGAAATGTTCAAGAAAGGAGGAACAACACACAGGTAGACTCAACTCTGTGGATTCTCTAGATAAGACTTAACACTGTATAAGAATGCGTTTAATACCTCCTAGTCACATACTTCCGCAAACTTGCAGAAAGAAGGAGCTTTCAAGGTACATTGAAATTGTGAAGTTAAAAAGAACAAATCTAGAGGACTCTTGTATTTTCCTGGACAGGAAAACCATAGACTCCTTTTTTAAATAGGTGAAAGCTGTTAAGTAATGGGAAAAAAAAAAACTCCCAAAGATATTGATACTTATAATTCTGATAATGGGCAACCAATTAGTCCATAAAAAGTTACAGACTAATTCATATCATCATCATCAAATATTACTGTCTGGAAACTACACACACTACACAGGACACCTATTCTAGGGGCAGACAGGCAGACTGACCAGGAAAGAGAGCTGTGTTCATTCAGCATTATTATCTATAAACCCAGCAGCAGTCTTCGACATGTGTATCACATACTCCCCACTCTTTGGCTGCCTACATTGGCTTAGAGAAGCTGAGTCTGAAATGCTTCAGTACATGTTCAAGAGGTGTTAATTAACATCTTCTAAGCAAGTCTTCTATGGCTAAATAAGTCAATCTGGTCTTTGTATTATTCTACCCCAGTGATGCTGGGCAGAACATTACTATCAGCACAGAGGGCTTGTGCTAGTGGTAAAAATAATAATAATGATAAACTATCACAATAATGAGCACTTACTTTATGGCAAATCTGCAGTAAGTTCTCTCTCATTTAATATTTATAACATTTTAAGAAACCAGACTTAAGAGTTTTAGTAGCTTGCCCACGACCCCTCACTAATAAATGATATAGTCCATATTTAAACCCTGGTCTGTGTGAATTCAGTCCACTCTTTCTAGTATTTATAATCAGGCAATAAATTCACAGTTTAAATCTCACAATGAAGCCAACTTTATTCCACTTTATCATTGCTATCATAAGCATATGTTATGCTCTCTGAAGTCAAGGTACTTAATCTGGGCCAGCAGACTGAACAATAAATCCATTCTACTTGTCATAAGGGAAAAAAAGATTCATATGAACATCCCTCATTGAAAAAGTAACTGCTAATAGTTCTAAAAAGAAAAGAGCTCTTTTTTAAATACATGAAAGATATGTTCTAAGTCTGGCTAAAAATGATTTGATAAAGTTCAAATATAAAATAAGCAATAAATGAATAAAATGCCACTATTCCCTTCATTACAGTAGAGCCTGAGTTCTGCAAACTATGGCCTAACTAGGACTAGCTGACTGTTTTCATGAAGTTTATTGGAATACTCATTTTCATATTGTCTATGTCTGCTTTCATGCTACTGTGACAGAGTTGAATATTTGCGATAGAGACCACCTGGTCTACAAAGCCAAAAATTTTTACTATCTGACTGCAATATAATGATTTACAAGAAATATGCATTGGTCATTCAGATGACCCAAATAGTATTTGTCAGATATATTTGACCTTCAAGAACAGTTCCTGAAAATGCTTCAGAGGTATGAAGGTAAAATAGCTGTCTTGTTATTGATGAAGGTAACTTCTGGACCACATGAAAGGGTGGGGACTGGTTGCCAGGAGGATTAACCATTGAGGGAACTTTTAGTCCCATACCCTGACCTCTAGGGAAGGGAGAAGGGGCTGGAGGTTGAATCAGCCAGTGGCCAATGACTTAGTCAATCATGACAATGTAATGAAGCCTCCAGAGAAACCCAATAGTGGAGCTTTTGGGGCACTTCCCCTTTTTTCCTTTTCCTTTTTGGAGAGCTTCCACACTTGGCTTCCGCATGTCACTGAGCCCCAAGTTCCACAAGGACAGGAGCTCCTTTGTTTAGGACTTCACCCTATGTATCTCTTCACCTGGCTGCTGATTTGTACCCTTTATCACACCCTTTAATAAACTTATAAATTTAAGTGCTTCCCTGAATTCTGTGAGCTGCTGGAGCAAATTAATCAAACCTAAAGAGAAAATTGTTGGAACCTCCTATCAGTACCTGGTTGGTCAGAAGCACAGGGGCTTATGAAGGTGCCTGGAGTGGAGACTGGGCCATGTTCATTGGTCCATAGGACTGAGCACTTAATCTGTGGAATCTGAGAATTCCTTGGGGGTAGTGGCATGGAGTGGAAGAGAATTCCCCACACATGTTGTAATTTAGTCCAATTAGCCCTAAAAATCTGGTCTTTTAAAAATAAGTTTGTTGACCCCTAAACTAGACAATCCAAAGACAGAGTTTACACAAAAAGTATAATTTTACCGACCTGTGATAAAGCATGGCTAAATATATAATAATCATCAGTCTGTTACAGCATAAAAATGACAGGAACTTTGTTTTTACCTTGAAGATTTTCCTTCTTCAACAAAGAATTGAGTTGGTTCATAGAGTTGAAGACAAGAATAGACTCCACAGATGCTCTGTATCGCCCAGAATGCTCAGTGCTGACATTCAGTCCTAGGCTTTGAATTCCTTGGCCAGTCTCTATCCCTTCCAGGAGTGGAAGCTCATGAGGAAGAAAACTGGTAACTATGCTGTGAAGAGTCGGCTCCTTAGAATCTGGATCTAGTAACCAGCATGCCACCTGAGTGGGATAGCAATCAGAATAGTTTCATCATTTTTCAAAGACATTGTGCACTCTTAAATTGAAAGGGGGGGATAAAAGCTCATTTCTAATCTCACTCGTTTTCACCTAAAACTTACTCAGTGGTCTTTCCCAGAAGAGGAGAAGGAAAGGAGAATTGTACCAGGACTCATTTTTGGTATCACTGAGAACATCAGCCTTCAAAGAAAGAAAACTTTGAACTTTTTTATTACTGCAGTGCTCCTGCTGATCAGTTCTGAAGTGGGCTTTAAAATTAAGTGCCTCTCAGCTAACTGAAACCATGTTTCTGGAACTGTAGATGCACTCCTCCACTAAAGCTTATTGTGGCTAAGCTACTATAATAAAGATGAGCCTATACTAGTTTTAAGTTTATTTAATTCTTTCAACATCAGAAGAAGTGAGACACAAAGGTCTTACCAACAAATTTTATACCCTGAGTTTTAAAAAGCCTCTAGGCTTTCCCCTAAGGATGAGGGCCTGTCCCCAGGACTATCCAACAGGTCATTTGATTGCTATTTTTAGCTTTCCTACAAGACCAGAAGACCTGTAGTTTTTAGTAAATTAGAAGATCACAAGTGGATTTAGAATAAGGAAATCTAAACCCTGTTCATAATTTGACAATCACTATATGACTCAGTTACTTCTTTTGTAGGTTTAGAATCAGTTTTAAGGGGGGTGTGATATTGTGGATTACAAAAGGAAATATAAATTCTGTCTTCATCCCCATTTGCAGCACAGCTTCTAAAACTATTGGAATTTCCAAAGTGGTAAGAGAGATAAAGGTGTCTTTTGTTATGTCAATGAGGTGACTTTGGGAATGCCCAAGTCACCTTAGGGTTGGGTGCTGGTTACCCAAGGAAAACAACCCTGTGATGAGAGGGCTGGAACTTTCAGTCCCACCCCTTAACATGGGAAGGGCTGGGGCTGAATTGATCACCGATGCCAATGATTTAATCAATCATGCTTATGTAATGAAGCCTCTATAAAAACCCAAAGGACAGGGTTTGGAGAGCTTCTAGGCTGGTGAACACGTGGAGATCTGGGGAGAGCGGCCCACTCTGAGAGGGCATTGGCAGCTATGTACCTCTTTCATATGCCTCACCTGGTATATTTCTTCATCTGGCTATTGATTCCATATCCTTTAACATCATTTGTAATAACTGGAAATCTAGTGAGTACAATGTTCTCCTGAATTTTTTAGCCCCACTAGCAAATTAATCAAACCCAAGGAAGGAGTCACAGGAACTTCTGATTTATAGCTGGTTGGTCAGAAGTACAGATAAGAATCTGGGCTTGTGATAGGTATTTAAAGGGGGAGTCTTATAGGACTGAGCCCTTAATCTGTGGGATATGGCATTATATCCAGGTCGATTCTGTCAGAATTGAATTGAATTATAGGACACCCAGCTTGGTACTCAGAGAATTGTTGGAGGTGTGGGGAATTCCACACCCGTCTTTAGAAATTGTTGATCAGACACCCTTTTAGGGGTTATTGAATCAGACATTCTGATGTAAAAGTTAGCAAATGCTTCTTATAAATGTGAGATTTTATAAATAAATAATAGTTTATCTTCTTACATCAAAAGTGTTGTGACAACACCATCCACCACATCAACAAAAAGAAAGACAAAAACCACATGATCATCTCCAAAGATGCTGAAAAAGCATTTGACAAAATTCAACATCCATTCATGACAAAAACTCTCAGCAAAATGGGTATAGAGGGCAAGTACCTCAACATAATAAAGGCCATATATGATAAACCCACAGCCAACATCATACTGAACAGCGAGAAGCTGAAAGCTTTTCCTCTGCGATCGGGAACAGGACAGGGATGCCCACTCTCCCCACTGTTATTCAACATAGTACTGGAGGTCCTAGCCACAGCAATTAGACAAAACAAAGAAATACAAGGCATCCAGATTGGTAAAGAAGAAGTCAAACTGTCACTATTTGCAGATGACATGATATTGTACATAAAAAACCCTAAAGACTCCACTCCAAAACTACTAGAACTAATATCGGAATTCAGCAAAGTTGCATGATACAAAATTAACACACAGAAATCTGTGGCTTTCCTATACACTAACAATGAACTA